GGATCCTAATGGTTTCAAAAATGTATCCTTGTGTACTTGATCATTTACTATTTTCAACAAAGAAGTGTGACTTCACTCATTCTGCAGTAAGCCTTGTTCAAAAAAGCTGTCCTTCTTATCTGTCTCTGTAGCTCAACACCTAATACCACATGCCAAATGCACAAGCAGTATTTTTTAAAGTAAATGAATGAATCCCATTTTGCCCAATTGGAAGGTACTGCTCAGTAAAGTCCTGACTTGTCCAATGTCACACTGCCCAGAAGAGAGTAAGTACACTGGCATGAGATTGGGCTAGCTCTCAAGGAAGAAGTTTCTGACAATGGGTTGCTCAGTAATCAAATCCAGTATTCTGCTAGGCAACCTTATTTGAAATAGTGTTCTTGACCACTAACCATAGTAGAACAAAAGTCAGAAAATATCTTTTAATAAGGCATGACCAGTCACTTTTTTATTGCTCCTGAGTTGGAGGGGAAAATGATCAGTTGCTCTTTGAGAGCCTTTCCTGCGATGAGATGTTATTTTGATTCCAAGAGCTCCTGCTCTAATCTGAGAGGCGCGTTTGCTCGCAACCTCTCGGATTCAGACCCTTTCATAGAAAATTAATTTAAGCTAATGCAAAAGTTACTTCCCAGAATGGAGGCAGTATCAGGACCTTAAATGCTATTAATGTGTGTTAAATGAAGCACAATCTCTGTGTACTAAGGATAAATTGCAGGACAAACAGCTTACCGCTATTCCTTTTTTAAAAAGGCCTGGGATGGGTTCCATTTACAAGCACTTACATGAGTACGTGACTCCACTATATTCTGTCTTTAAATGCTGAGGATTTATTAAAGCAAGCAACTCACTGCCAGACAAATAGTATTAGAAACATTTTTATTTAAAGTTGGACAATAGAAAGGAGTCACAGAAAAAAAATTACACAAACTTGCAACAGAATGCAACTAAGAAAGGTAATTAGTAAATGAGAAGAAAAAAAGACATTCCTGATTTTACCAAGCAATTTGTTAGTTATCAAATAGAATAATTGATCAATTCAGCAAAGTAAACCCCTTGCTGGTATCTCTTGAACACAACAGATAAACAATTTAATCTACTAAATTAGCATCTACTAAAACCACCCAAACTGAAAGTCAAGGCAACATTTCTTCAACATATGAGATACAACTTGGGGAACTGAAATACTACTACTAGAGAAATTTAAAACCAACCAACCACCTCTTAATACCTTTAACCTGGATTTCAGTCCACAATGGTGCTGTGGATCTGATAGAAAACAGGTCATTTAAATTTAAGTCTGAACACAGTCCCCCTACACACACACACACACACAGACACACACACACTGCATTCTAAGACAAAAGGGCCATCAATGTCCTTGCTATGCATAGGCATAGAGGCCGAGACTAAAAACAAAATGATATAGACCCTGGGACCCTGGGACATCTGCCTTTTCTGAAAGGGTGGGAGTGGGATTATAGTAAGGAATGTAAAAATTTTTACACTTTGGCAAGTAAGTGTACAAATTACCATTTCTTGATTGTCATTGTTATAAGGAACTATTCTACCTCTTGAAAACATATTCTTTAATCTTATTTGACTTCCCCCTCAAACATTTGGAGGGTAAATTCTTATAAAACAGAGGTGGACTAAAACCTCTTATCTGTCATAATGGTTATTTTTCACTTTCTCTATTAAAAAGCATATAAAATGTATAGTTTATCACTGATAACTAACACCAAGATATTGCTTGTTAATGGGGGTTTGGGAACAACATGATTAATTTTTTTTAAAAATTAGGCCTCTATATATTTAATTCCTGTACAATAAACTACATATTAGAGCTGACAAAATAATATTAGCTGATGAAAATTTCAACACTTATCTCAACCTTAATACCCTCATAGAGGTAGTAGAATCAGTAATGAGCCAAGAAGTATGCAGTCTTGATAATTTACAGAGCTGATTTTTTCTAAAATGCTATAATTAGCTGTATATTAACTTTCTTAGAAATTCTAAGTTTAAAAAATGAAATTCAAAGATAAGCAATGTAAAAGATACTATTCTAAAAACTCATCTCATTTGAAGAAACATTTTCTTTATGCCCACAACAATTTTGCCAACAGTAGAACATGCGTGTTCTCTAGGGAATGCGTGTTCTTTAGTTAATGAGGGTGTTCAAGGACCAGACACCAGATCTAAGCTCAGAGCCAACTCATGACCTAAAGGGAAAATTACTGTTTGTGGTGTCGGAACAAAATGAATTTTGAATGCTATTGGTAATTCACTAGGTTAGGTCTATCTTCATAACATTTGGTTGATATTTTGAAAAAAGGAAAGAGGAAAATAAAAACGTAAGATTCAGTTAAACAGTTCTTTCTGGTTATAAGACTGGAGGACCTTTAGAGTTATAAATTATTGTAGAAACATTTAACTCTTCAGTAAAGCTGCCATAACCCTACATTCACATTGTTTCGTTGGGAGAAAGAGGAGACAAAAAAGAGAAAGTAGGTGTCCTGTGTCCACTGAAACAGGCATAATTAATGAGCTGTACTCTTTCTAATATAGCCATGGAATGCTTCTGTCACAAGTGCTCTAATAGTTGACAGCACCTATAAAATCTAAACTTGAATGGATATAGGGAAGTAATTTGGCAAAGCATCCACTGTGTGCCCAGAAGTAGGCTTGTTCTAAGGGGAAACAGAAAAAGGAGACACATATAGGTCCTGCCTCCAAAAGTTTAAAATACAGCTAAAAATGTGCTTTTCATTTCTTAAACATTAGAAATTCTAAATATGTTGATGTTAACTAAAATCCTTTATTGGGTCTATATTCTTTCCAAAAAAGGCAGGTTAATTTGGGCTTTATTGACAGATACTGCTGATAAACATATTCAGAACCAAAGTTCCAACAATAGTGAGTGAGGGCAGCTACTGAAACTGATTCCAAAAATCACATTAAGCTACTTGGGGGAATGGTATTATATAATATGCCAAATCATAACATGTGAGAAACACAGCTTTAAATACCCAGGACCTGTTTGGTTACGTGTTGTCAAAGCTTAATTTTCCAAAATAAGCCTTTTTTGAGCTATTTAAATTTACAAATGGCTTATAGATCCTTCTAGCATCAGTTGAACATAACAGCATCAAGGGGTGTCAAGCCATTTCCAAAAAGATAATTATAATTCATTTCAGAAATTCAGAAAGCCCAATTACTGAAAACTGCAAGGGCCCTATCAATCGACAGCTTGACTATAGCCCACCCCTTCGACTTACAGCACAGACCACTCTTCTGAGTCCAGCCATCAGTGCCAAAGGGTAAACTCAGGGGGAACATCTCTACCATTAAGACCCCAGGCTGTGCAAATGGAAAGATTTTGACAAGACCTCACATCTTGGTCCCTAGCACCAAGTAACCAAAAAAAAAAAAAAATCACACTTTTATCAAGCAAGCAATCACTCAGGAAGACCTAAGTGTCACATGGTTGCAGAAATACACACTAGGAGGTGGCAATAAATAGTTTCTAAAAACAATGGCTCTTTTACTCATTGAATCGGTCACTTTGCCCATATCACACATGCTATGATTTAAGCAAAATGTACCATGTATCATACATAGACTTTAGCCTTCCATCAATATCCAACCTGTATAAAATAGGTAGATGAGAACCTGAATAAACACTACAAATCTATTGGTTCTGAACTAGGAAAGTCCCATGTCTTGCTGACACACAAAATGTTTAAGGGAATTGCTAAGCAGATAGGTTAATATTCTCTGAAACAACTTCTCAGGCAATTCTATTGTGTCTTTGGTGCATATCATCTGAAACTTCATAAAACTGGTGAACCACACAAACCATACCATGTTGTTACGAAATTCATACAAACTTAATGCACCCTATTGCAAGTGTAATCACTGTATTTGTGAAAGTCAGAAAGCAAGGTGATATTTACAAATACTTTAAAGTAATAATTCACTCACTCTTTACATCAAATTTGTGAGCAGTGAAAATTATATGCATTTCACAGATAAGGAGCTGGACATTGACATAAAATGCACATAAATAAATTCAGAATAAGAATATGGATTCACTGTCTTTAAACCTCCCTCCCTCCTTCACAGTTTTTTTCCTCCCTCCCTAATTGAGCAAAGAAGCTTAGATGAATGTTCATACAGGATTGTTTTACTAACTACTCTTCCACTCTTTAAGTATTATAGAACTAGCAAGGAAAACTACTATTTAGATTTTGTGGCAAGTTAAAAGACAAAGCAAAATCTAAGCAAACATCATTTCATAATCAGACTACTTTGACTGCAGCCTAGTTCTGGGTGGGCCTTGGTACATACAGCTAGGTAACACAGAGGTCCAGTACAGAAATAGACATAATTGCTGAGACAGAGTTTGGAATCACTATACTTGATTCACTTTCTAGGTTCAGATTGAGGTTCTAACTGCTAAAGCATAGACAGGAGTTGAGAGCAAAAACTAACAATATGGGAAAGTAATTGCGCAATCTAAATTATGATCATTTGGGTGCCCAATTCAACACCCTCATATATGTACTCTATCCAATGTAAAAGTGAACAGGTATACAATTCTGTCACAAACCAGTAGGGATAATAGTTAAGTTACATCTCAATCAATGGTCTCATCCAGATTTTTTACTAGTTTTCTCTCTAAATATGTGACTTCTAAGCACAGGGATAGAATTTACTTTTCAGTGTACTTTTCATTTACTAGAGTAAATGCAGTGTTACATTATCAGGGTTAAATCAAATTACATGAATTATAAAAATACCAATTCACCTTAAAGAGAAGGTTATTCACTGAAGAAAGTGAGTACTTGTTACATTTTGGTGAGGGAAAAAAAAGCAAATGGAAGAATATTAAAATAATCATCTCCTAGCTAAAGTTATCTTTAAAAAGTATTATAAAAAATCATTATTTTAAACATAAATAAAACATTTTTATATTAAATGTTAAATTTGAAAGTAAACCCAAACTTTCTTACAAAATAGCCTATAGGAAACTTGGTATAATAGACACTCAAAAACACTAAGTAAATGAACACTGCCTAATAGGCGTTAATATTGTAACGTCTTTTAGTAGTAAAAAGATCTTCTGTGAAGAAGTTGGATTCCACTTTGATCTTTTCAAAGTAAAATTCAGCAATTCTATCCTTGATGAGGTATCATATTTTGGAATCCAAATGTGTGTGTATGTGTGTTCTTTTTTATCAGCTTTATTCATTTTATTGAGACTTTTAAAATAGTAATAAAGTTCATTTGGGCATTAAATAAAAAAAAAAACACCCTTATTATGGTGGCTTCAAACTGCGTTTTTTAACTAAAAACTGTCCCCTATAGTCATTTTAGGCAGTATTGTAACCAAAGTATAAACAGTAGGAATTTAACCCCTCCTTTCTACTTAAAATACAATAAACTTCTTAAGTACGCAGAGTTTGTACACTTCCCATTTTAGATCAAATCAGAGTTAAAAAAATATAAAAAGAATAGGATATGCATTAATATTAATCCATGTGCTGTTAGGTTCCCACAGAAATATTTCATTATTCATCTTTAAGATCACTTCTCAAGGGTTGTTTTATCGAAGGAATGATTTTTCTCTATTCTCACCATCTTTTATGATGAAATGCTCCTTTTCCAGTTACTTATTGGAGTTGTTATCAGTAAACACTATCATATACCTCCAGTTCAAGACATGAATAGCAGTAGAATACTTAGTTTCAATTATAAATAATATGTATTCAACAAATAATGCTGCCACTATATATGCTACAATAAACACATGAGAATGAGTATACATTATTTTTCATAAAAATGTAATTTCTAATCAATTTAGATTTCACTGAGAAGACATTAAATACTTAAACATCAGATAGTCTCCTGTGTTATAGAATGTCAGTCAGGTGAGATCTGAAAGAGATTCTTTATTGGTAGCCATATACAGTTGACTATACCTTCAATCTCTGTGTTTACTTGCTATTTAAGAATTATAGAACCTGGACATCAAAACACTATCAATGCAATTATCACTACAGACTCTCACTGGCTCTTTTAAAATTTGGTTAAAAGTTGCAAAGTCATGATGTATACAATTACTGCAGCTACATTATTTGAAAAAGAAATATATTATGCTGCTAAGACAAAAAAACATAGAAACACATAAACATCACAATGTAACAATAGGAACTCATAACTATTTAATATGAAAAATTAAATTTTAAAAATTGTTAGAGAACTTGGGGATCTTTCACGTCAGCAAAACAATCTATATATTTCCAACTTCTATGATACAATAGACATTAAAATACTTCAAAGAAATGACATTCAAATGCCTCCTTTACACAAATAATATTGCCAATACTAATAAAAGTGATGCCCTTAAACATGAACTGCTCTGCTACTGGTGATTTTAAAAATGTTTTCTTAGTTCATTTTATATTTTAGTTAGCAATGAGCATTACATATTAATCAGTTCTGTGTTGACAGAGAAACCTAGTCAAAATACTGTTTCTCGAAAGTAATATACATCATATTGCTTGAAACTAACAACCATATAAAAATGGCAATCATTTAATCTAAACATTGATTATGAAAGACAACTGGCATATATTCAAGCAGTGTGTTGAGTTCATGATAGTTTATTTACAATAAAAGTACTTTTACTGAAGCTAACATGATATATAGGTTTCTATGTCAATTACTACAGTCTCTTAAAGTTATAAAAATATTATATAAAATACCACAGGCTTTAGAGGATATAACTTCATGTGGTTCTGATACTAGCAGCTGAAAAGTGTTCATAATTTAAAAATAAATAAACTATAGAGGTAAACCAGTTACAAAACAGCAGAGGACTGCAATAGTCACAAGAGTGAAAAGAAATGCTTAAATACACAATAGCTAACAAAATGGTGAAGCAGTTGGATCAAAAGTTTTAAAAACCTCTTTCAGAGATTTGTCGTCCGTTTCTCTAGTGGGATCATTGTCTGTACTGGGGCTCACCTGTCCCGGCTGCCTTGCCTGCCTTGGATCACTGTACTGGGGTCTAATTAAGCCTGTTAATGCCTGAATAGGAAGACTGTGCACTGCTGGGACCTGAACCAAACCAGGGCCCCTGACACTATCTGCCTGTGGGTCAGCTGGCCCGTCAACAGTGACATCCATGTTTGGAGTGGTTTTCTGTGGTAGGATTGCTTCTCCAGGAGAAGGCTCATTTTTGTCACTACTTTTTAAACCACCACATTTTTTCTGGTTCTCTGCATTTTCTGTTGCTAGCTCTGATGCAGACGAGGAACTCTGTTCCCTAGGGTCATATAGACTAATACCACTAAGAACTGAACTTGTAGCTCCCAGTGGAAGGCCAGCTGAAGATGAGAGTTTAGGGGCATATGGAGGCAAAGCCCCAGGACTAGAACTGCTAACTACTGTCTTTGAAGGCTGTGATGAGCCAGGATTTGATCTGACTAAATGAGGGGCACCCTTTGATATGTGTGAATCTTTCAGAACAGCTTGATGAGACTCTGTATTGTGTCTGTGAAGCCTAGGATCAAAGTTTTTTTGCAGTCTAGGATCTCCTAATTTATTTCCTGAACTATGAGAGTCTCCAAGTTGTTCTAGGTAGCCTTCTCTATTTGTTGTGTTAATTTTGGTTTTGGCTGCTAATTTTGAATCAGTGGACACTGTATTTTGATGATCACTTTTTGTATTCCATAATCTACTGAGCCTCTGGTCAGCTATAAGAGGGGGCAAAGGTAAATTGATTGAAGATACTGGGTCAGGTTTAGGTAAAGGGACTGGAAGTAAGTCTTCTGGAGCCCATACGATGTGTTTTGCAAAGTTGGGTTTGGCTAGGATAATATCCATTTTAATGTGACTGAACTGTCTCAATTGTGACCTTGGATCCTGGAGCACAATACCAGGGGAAGAATCCAAAGGTATTAAGAAAGCTTTTTCTCTCAGTTCTCTTTCTGTATCTTCATCATCATCATCTGCTCTTTTGTGTTTTGTGCCAGCATCTGCATGATGTAAATCAAACTTTGTTCCACCAACAGAAGAGCCTACATGACCACTTCCATTCCCTCTTAATTTCCTCGGATCCCACACAAGCCTAAGGTCCAGTGGGGCAGACTCGGAAGATTTCCTAATGTCTTGCCTTGGGATAGTCCTAAGTCTAGGGTCAACAACTTGATTTCCTTTACTTTTCTCTTTAGCAAGTCTTGGATCCGTAGGGGTACTGAGTTCTGTGGAAGCCTGTTGCTGATTCCTTAAAGTTTCCGTTTGCTTCTGCAATGTTTTCAGTATTGACTTGACACTGCTTCCTTCTTCTTCTTCACTACTGGAATACCAGTTAACGGTATCATCTAAATGTAGACAAAAACTTATAGTAAAGAACGAAGTATTTATATTTGTCCTTAATTAAGATTAAAAATAAGGGTACTCTAATTTTAAGAAAATGCATCACAGAAATGTCACAGTTTCAAAGCTGTAACAAGATGTAATATGACAATTATAAGTTCAGTCCTTACATTTTATAAAGAAAGAGGTACAAAATCTGAATGTAAATGATGTCCTTCTAGTCAGAGAAAAGTCAGGATCTTTCATTAGAACTGGTCAAAGGGAACTCAGAAGTTTGTTTGGTATGACCAGATTGGGGTAAACGGAAAAAAAAAAAAAAACAACTATTGGAAAGGAATATTAAAATATTTTGGATCTCTTTAACTCAAGTAATTCTGAAATTTCATAGCTCTGAATTTACCAAGTAAGAAGGGAGACATACTAAAAAAAAAAATCTGAACAAAAACAAAACACTAATAATGATGATTAAGTGAATACAGAAGAAAAACAGAACAACAGAGATAGGTCATTGGGTAGCAGTTACTAGAAAATGATAGTTAAAATCTTTTATCAATTTTATATCAAAGGACAGATAAAATTTATAAGAATGGATCCAAACACAAAAATCTAGTTGCTGAAGACGCCTTCTATATAGAGAGAAAACAATCCTCTCATATAACATAATCAATTGTATAGCACAGTATAAAATTTTAAATCATCTAGAAAAGTTTTAATTTTATTTATTAATTCATGAAGCTCTGTAAGACTTTACACATATAACCACTGAAATGGTTGCTTCTTAAATTGTACATGAAATTAACTTATTAGGAATGCCTCAATTTTCCTGTGGAATGAAGAGTTAATGTTACTTTAATGAAAATGTAACAAAGTCCACATAATATCTTGTAGCTACGTAGTTTTACAGTTATTTATAAATTTTGTTTAAGAGTGGCCAAAAATACTAACTTTGTAATTCATAAGAAAATTATGTTTTACATTTTTCTCTCCTTAACTTAGTTAGCTAAAGTTGTGCACTTACTGATTTCAAAAATAGTAAGGTAAACTTAATGTTTCCATATAATCTTTTATAGTAAAAATACTATTCCTTAATAATACGGCAGAACCTTAAGTATAAAGGCTATGTCCATAAAGATTTCTCTAATGACTGAATTCTTTTGAACTTGTGCTAGATGTGAAAATTCCTGAAATGGAAGACAGTCTGTTCCTGGTCTATATCTTCTCTTTAAAAAGAAGAAAAAGACTTATTAATAACAAGTCGGCTCATCCAGGGTTCACACTCTAGTTTCAGATACATTCACTATTCAAGTCAATTAATTAAAATAATTAAATACTAATGCATTAATGGCACTGAAAACCAAAATCAATCCCAAGAAGATGGAATTATGAGGTAAACTGAAAATAGATAGTTCAAAGGATGTAATTTTTCAAATTTTAACCTATTTAAGACTATTTCAGGAACTGAATGATCCCAAATAGGTAAGATGCTATTATAACATCTGACACACCTTCTTCCTTGCTTGATGCCTTTTGAGGCTGGGTGCTATTTGGTTCTTCATCTTCTTGGTATTTCCGAGTAAATCTGACAAAGAGAGCTCTCTGCATTGCAGGAAGGAGACTTGGTGCAGGCACAGGGCCATGAGATGTCATATTGCTGCCATCAGATCCACTCCCGTGGTTAAGTGAGTCTTGAATAATGGAAGGCTGGTGCTGGGCAAATTCACCATGCCACATCCCATCTACATATATAACACAGAAAGTGAAAGTGACAGTACAAAACTCCATTAGAGAGTACCACTGTGTTATAAAAAAATTAAAGTTCTAATGATATTCACACTTGATTATCAAATTATGTGATTATAATTTTTTTAAAGTTTCTGAAGTTCTATTGTTACAAAGATTTGGTTAAATTTCAACCGTATGTTAAAGTTTTAATTTTATCACATTTTACTTAGCTTCATTTAATACATATTCTTATTATGTTTTTAACGAAAAATAGGCCTCTACATATTTAAATTAGAAATGAGTTATTTCAAAAGGTAAACTTACCATTGGAGTTACTGGGTGACTGAAAATTATGTACAGCATGCTGTGAATAGTAATTGTCATAAAACTCAGCTGGGTTTTGTAGGGACTCATAATTAGTGTTGAGTTGCATTTCACTAGGACTTTGCAGATGTGATAAACCAGGAGAACAGTGATTCTCTCTAGGTACTTTCATCATATGTTCTGGAAAGCCCAGGCAATGGTAAGTACCACTCATATTTGGTGGTGTTAAAGGTATATCTTGAACAAGTACTCCAGCTTGACTGGGAGGGCCTATAATTCCAGGTGGACCAGGTGGCAAAGGTGGGCTATGTGGCATTGGTAGACCAGGATGAGGTCCTGGGGAACCTGGGTGCATCACAGGACTATTTTGTCCCTGAGTCATATTAGATCCAGGACCTGGACTTGATCCAGAACTATAGATATGTTGAGGATGTGGGCTGCTTTCCTGAAATTGTGGTCCTGGCGGTGAGGCACTATTATAAAATGCTGGTGGCCTGTAAACAGAAAGAATATTCCTTAGTTTTAAAAAAAAAAAAAGAGGGCCTCCCTGGTGGTGCAGGCGGTTGAGCACAGCACTATGACGCTGTTGCAGCCTCTCCTGTCTTGCCCACTGCTCCCCTCAGCAGTGTATTTCAGTCAGTCTGCCTGTTCTGTTCCCTGCTCTGTCTCTGGTGAATCCTCTCACCCTCCCGCACATCTGGCCTGGTTCTTATATGCATAAATAAATAAATCTTTAAAAAAATTTAAAAAAAGATATAAATGTTACAATTCTAATAAATATTGGCTAAGCATGTTTTTCTTTTCTTTTCCTTTTTTTTTTTTTTTTTTAACATTTTAAAAGGACCGGTTTATTAGGAAAGGAGAAAAAGAGAGGCCTTTCCACAGTAACAGGCAGGCAGGAGAGCTGCCAAGTATTTTTCTATACAGGATAGAATACTATATTGTTAAGAAACAATGTATTCCATATTATCTATAGGTAGAAACACCAACATATTCATTTAGCCTTCATTTTACCTGACAGTTTTCTTATTTGCTGCTTGCTAACAGCTGTTCTAACAGATACAAAGAAGAAAGATACAAAGATCACTAAAATTACCTCTAATAATACCATCCAGAGATAATGTATTGGTTCTCTTCTATTCCTTTTTCTAGGTATACACAGACTTTTTTTCATAATTAAGTTAGAATTATATTTACATAAACATACAACTTCCATTACAGTTTCCAAGTTGCTGCTGTTGGTATATAGAAACACTTTGTTCTTCCTCTGGACATCTTATTAATTTATTATTTTTAATAGTTTTGTCAGTTGATTACTTTGGGTTTACTGGAGGAAAATGTCCAAATAGTAAGTCTGCCTCTCCACTTCTATTTATCTTTCATATTTTTCTCTGTTTGCAGTGACAAGGATCTGATACATATTATTAACAAAACAGTAGTGTTTTTTTCTTAACTTTAATAGAAATGCTTTTAATGGTCACATAAATTGCAATGTTTGCTATCACTTTCTTGTTCTTCATTTGTTGAGATCTCATTGCTTCTCTGAGCATTGAAGGTTAAAAGAAAAATCAACAATGGGACTTAAGGCCCAGGTGCATAGGCCCTGGAGGATGGGCAGTAGGACCGGAATGGATCCATCCTACCCAGAGGTTTTCTTCTAGTAACCTAAGGAAATACTTCTCTGAAACAACCAAACATGTTAAAGACATATTACTTACTATCTGAAGACATTCAACAGCAGTGAGGGAGGCTTATAACAAGGTGGGAGGAATGTCAATCCCATTTACCTGGCAGTGTCTTCGGGATTACTGGGTGAAGAGATTTCTGAAGCTGCCTTAAGAATTCCCTAGAGAATAGCACTGATGGTTGGCATTAGAGGACAGGGACAAAGAGGAAGGCAGAAGCAGCAATCAGGGTGCCTATGACATATATGCTAAGTTTAATTACATGATTAACCTGGAATACAAGCTAATTTCTTAAGAGTCGTTAGGTGGGAAATGCCACAATTTAAAAAAAAATTTAACTTACTTTTTCCCAATCTTATGTGCTAAATCCACAGTAGGTTTTACAACTATTTCAAAAAGAGATGGAATTTTCCTGAAATCATCAGAAATATCTGTCTGAAAATCATCTTCAGGATCAGAAAAGGGAAAGTGCTCTGGGGGTGTTGGCAGAAGTCCAACTCCTGGAGGTGGTTTGGGAAGAGGAGTTATGCCACGCCTTCTAAGTTCTTCTAACTCCCTTTCATCTTCATTTGTGGGTTCTTCATCAGTATTCAATACCTAAAAATAATTTGCAAAGATTGCTATATCAAAACAAGCTTTCTTTCTCACATTTAAATCTCTGAAGACTGCAATAAACTAGTTTTTTTAAGTAGGAAAATACAACAGTAAAATTGAAATGGATTAGAGATCAACAACTCACTTTTGATAAAGAGTTTCAAAGAAGTAAAGAAAATTTCTCAAAGTAAAACAGCTTTCTGAATGGCAGAACAAAGATAAGAATAAGAGTCTTAATTTTTAATCCAGTATTTGTTTTTCTAACATACTATACCAATAGAATAAAGCAAAATAATAAATTCTCGATTTCTCAGCAGTTTTTAAAAAATATGGTTTATAAAACAGGATTTGAGTCAAATGAATCTGTTCAAAGACCTAACAAATAATGAAAGTACAAAACATCACTTACTTTGTCCAGAAGTTTCTTTGTTTCTTTAGTCAGATCATCATGTGAAAATTTACAGTTGTCTCCTTGGTAACATTTTGCTCCACTATGGTAGAATTTGCATGGAAATTCATGTAAACAAAAATATTAAGGAAAGACCAAGCAAAACAAAATCCAGTATTTTTTAAACCAAAAGACATAAGAGTGATGAAATTTAGTAAGTGTCTTATTCAGTACTATATTGTACTGAATTTTCTATCATGTCAATAAGACAATTTAAAGATTAAATATTTTAATTATGCAAGAAAACATTCAAAAACAATTCAATCTCTCTTATTCTATTAAAATGAAGAAACTTTTTAAAGAAAAAGATTTATTATGGTTATAGCAAATACTATGAAATACTGTAATTATGTAAGCCCTATTATTTTCCACAGTAAAATATTATACACAACAGATAAATTTGTAGTAAGATGAAGATGCAGATGAAGAAAACACAGGGGTTTGATACGTCATGTTAACGTGAAATACCCAAACAATGAAGATTATAGGTTAATCCTACTTAATATTTTCTAAAGAAAATATTAAAGTATGGTGAAAAACACATTTTCAAAGGTGTATGTTCAGGGAACACACCTGGTTGGTTATTACTGTGATCATTTAAAAAGCTCTTAGCAAAATTAAAATACAATCATTTAAACTGATTCTTTAAAAACATCTTAAACCTACAGTCAGGAGTCAAAGTGAAATGGCATTATCATTAAAACATTACATAAACAATATAATTAAAATTAAATAAGAGGTACAAATATGAATAATTACCATTATTTATAAATGACATGACTATGGGGAAAAATTCAAGACTAGATTGAAAGATTTTAGAACAGTTCATTCAATAAAGTACTGATTTCTAAGGAAATATGTCAAATAGGAAAAATTTTACTTTTTCTTGAATAAGATAAATTATACATATATATTCTGACAAAGAAAGGAGGATGATTTCCCTATTACAAATGCCCTACTATTATAAAGGAGAGTAGTGAAATAGCACAGTGTATAATAGCAATGTAGAAGAAGGTTACATGCAAAATTTAGGATCAGGTAAAGGTACCATTTTACATGAATGAGAAGGAAAAACTAAAGTTCTTCACTGCACATCACAGATTAAAATATAATCCACATGAATTAAAGAGGTCAATAAATGCTAAATGAAAAAGAATCTTCATAATCCTAACTAGAACACACTTTGTTAACAAATTATGTACAAAATACACACACACATATATCTACTCACAAATACGATTTTGTGACATATTATTAGCATGTTTATCCTTAAAGAATTACATTATTTAGGATTAAAAAAAAGTTTAGTTTGAAAATTATGAAACATATACCAAAACAGAGAAGAATAAAATGAGCGCCCATGTGCTAGCCATATAGGTTTAATAATTTTCTTCATTTAGCAATCTGTAACACCCTTATGTTCTCTCTATAACTTGTCTTCTAAACACTGACATATTTTAAAGCATATTTCAAATACATTTAATCTATAAATATTTACATATTTATTCAAACAGATAAAGGAATATTTTCTTTAACAAAAACCACAGCCTTATTATCAATTTGAAAAAATCAATTTCATCTATACCCTGTCAACACAAACTTTCCAGACAGTTTCTGAAAATATCCTCATATAAATTGCTTTATTCAGATCAGGATCCAACCATGATCTACAAATTGAATCTTGTTAATACATAACTCAAGTTTCCTGTACTGATCTCCAGAAGTTTCCTTCCTATTTTTGAATCAAAAATTCAAAATTGCATCTATTTCAAAATTTATCTGGAAAAAGAACCTACCAAATATCAAATTGTGCTAGTGAGGCAGAAATAGCTACAGCAAAATAACACAGACATGAGGGCTAACAGATACATGAAGCCAAGCAGAAAGTCTAGGAAGGTAAGTGAACCATGTATACGTATGGGCGTATGAGGTTTTACTCCCAAAATTACATAGTTATGTAAGTGAATGACACAAAAAATTTAATTAAGAAACATAAACATTCATTCTATTATAAAAATACAGTTTCACATCAGTGGGAAATGGTTCTAATAGTTATAAATGATAGTGAGTACCTACTGATAAATATTTACAGGGGGAGGTTTAACTTATAAATAATATTGTATATTTTAAAGCACTATATATACAAAATCCTAATTTGGATGGCATCAGGAATACAATTTAAATGTACACATTTCCAAAGGGAACACACCTGGTTGGTTATTACTGTGATCATTTAAAAAGCTCTTAGCAAAATTAAAATACAATCATTTAAACTGATTCTTTAAAAACATCTTAAACCTACAGTCAGGAGTCAAAGTGAAATGGCATTATCATTTCATGTAGGAAGGATATCATTTCATGTAGGAAGGATATACAGTGTTTAATTACTGAGTGTTAGTTTTAAATAGGACCTAGAAAATTAATAACTTACATATAATAAATTTAATGAAAATTTTCACTTGTTCAGGGAATGATAGAGAATATTGTATAAACACATATACTCAGCTTTTATATTTAACAAATTCCTTCAAAAATATTTTGAAGTCAATCATGGCAGTTATTTTAAAGATGCTTTTATATTCTCTTCAGATCCAAATACTCTCTTCCTCCCTAGAGGTAAACAACTAGAAAAGTGGCATGTGTCTTTGCAATTACTTTTTTCATAGTAAATTACATCTGTGTATATCCACAAACAATATTTATTATTGCTTTGCATGTCACTAAATCAATAATCATGTTATATAAAAATTTTGATAAGACTTTGAGTTTATAATTCATAACAATGCTAATTAAGAACCTAAATAAAATAAGTCATAGAATAAATATTTTGCCAACTACTCTTTCGGGAAGCACATTATTTTAAAATACTTATAAACTGAATATAAAATATAAAGTACCTTTATGTCACAAATTTTTTTCCCAAAGCGAAGTTACTTCATTTACCTAAAGAATAAAATTCAATTTGCCCTTTTGCAGTACAAAAGGTGATGAAACTTGGTTTATGTGATGTGATATTTTAGATTTAAAACCAAACTAGGCTTTCTAGGTTGTACTTATGCTATTTAAAAAACCCCAGTGATGCCTTAAAACCTCAATATTTTGGTTAACATACTTTTAATAAAGGATATTATGCATATAAATGCAGTTCTCTCCTTTGGTACAATAACCTTGTAAATAAAATTTGCAGATCTCTTTCCTCTTTTCCAACTCTGCATCATGATCAAATTTACATTGATCTCCCTGTTCACAAGAACAAAAAATGTAAATCAAAAGGAAAGGGGAAAAAGAAACGAATTAAATTTTCTCCATGATGTTACATGGTGGAACAACGGTGATTTATCAGTATTAATTATGAGCTAATAATCTAAACAACCCTTTCAAATTCTTGCCCAAGACAATGGATATAGTTATGTGCAAAGAGGTAGCACAGTGATCATGACTGAGAAGATAATGTCTGGGTTCCATCAACATTTTTATTTATTTATTTATTTATTTATTTTTGTGGGACCCTTACCAGTGGCCGGGGATCGAACTGGCGCTGCAGAGGCCGTGGGCAGCCTCGCAACCCAGCGCTCAACCGCTGCGCCACCAGGGGAGGCCCACCACCATTTTTTTGAGCCACTGTGGAGGCTTATTTAATCTTTTGAATTAGTGATGTATAAAATGGGGGAAATAAAAATAACTACTTCATAACTTCACTGCTAGGATTAAAACACTTAATATTAGCAACCCACTTTGTACTTGCCACACAGTCAGCATTATGTGTTTGTTAAATAAAATCTGATTTTATTGTGGCAGAATATAATTAAATCAGTTCTGATATACAATATTTTCATGCAAGATACATTTTGAATGACCAGTTTTACTATAGATATTTGAAAGGTTAAAAAACTAACCACCCACTCAAAAGACTTTAAAATTTAAAGACTATTTTGGAAGCTAAAGTAATTTATGATGATAACTCTATAAATTTACCTTAATACATCTCCCTTCCAGAAAGTATTTACAGATTTGTTTTCCTTTGTGTTCCACTGTGTGCTGATTAATAAATTCCTGAGTCATAACTTTCCATTTTTTCCCTGGTTTACTATACTGCAAGGAAAAAAAAATCATTTGAATACACCATATGAAGTATTAAATAGTCATTAAAATGTATAGTCAAATGGATCTAGAAAACAATACAAATTCACTATTAAAAGTGGTCAAGATGAGACATTCTGAGGCTTTACATTTATTTGGAAAGAAATATACTTCTAGTAAACTGCCTATTGCTAAAATCCCTATTTCTATTTTATTTATTATAATTTTAAAAATTATGAAAAGCTTGAAAATTAACAATAAAACTCAGTTTTGGCAAAGGTACAATAAAATACATTGTTGATAGGCATATTATAAAAGCTAAAAACATTCATCTTGCTTGACACAGAAGTTGTACTTTTCAGGACAATTCTGAAAGAATTATCAGGAAGGCATATAAAGATTTATTCACAAAAAGTAACTACTATAGAGCTACTGACATAGAAAAACAAAACAAAACAAAATCCACAAAAAAATCCCAGAATCGTTTTACCCATCCAAAACTAGGAGACTGGTCAAACATATTATGATACATTTAGGTGGCAGAATAGTATGCAGTCATTAAAATATCATGGTGTGGAAAGACCAACTTTGGCACAAAATTTGGGACTTTATTAAGTGAAAAATCTATTACAATTTATAATAATAAAGACAAAAAACTAATAAAGTACACTTCTACCTTTAACAGTGTATATCTCTAGGTGGATATTTTTAAAAGATGAGATAATTTGCGTGTTATTTATTTTGTACTTTTTAGGGAAAAAATACAGGGAGGATATATTACACTTAACTTTTAAATTACAAAAAAAATAAGACGTGTACAGTAGGAAATCTCACAACTCTATTTGTTTTCCTTAGTTCTTCAGTCTTCAACTTTTACTGAGTATAAAAAGATTGAGTAACAAGAGCATAGACCCTTAACTATGCTAAGGACTCACATTCATGATCTCTTAACAAAACAGCATTGTTTTTCAAGCACTTAGCATGTACCATGCCTTGTACATGAGTTATTGAGGAGCTCAATAACTAGTTGCTCTTCTGATTTTAGTTTTTCCTTTTCCCTCAATTTTCTAGGAGATCGAGAACAAAGCACAACCTACTGAAAACAGGAAATTGCCTCACAGCAAACATTTGAGGCAACAGACAGCTAGACTTAAATCTGATCTTCAGTACTTGCAGTTGAAATATGTATTTTATTATAAGAATTCTGAAAAAAAGGACAAGAGAACAGATGATTCTAGAGGTTCATTTAAAAAATATAAGTATATCCCAATTGCCTCAGAAAAACACAAGAAATTGCTTATATTATACTCTGATAAGATCATTTAAAATATCTTAATTTTATGTAAATTTGGCTCACAAACATTTTCCATTTCTAGGCTCATTTAGAGCAAGTAGATATAAATGAAAAGCTAACATATGCCTTTCATACAAAACATTGTGGCTGCAATAAAACAGGCAGCTATAGAGTACATTATGCAAAGCCAATGAGCCAGCTGGCAAATATAACTTGAAATTACAAAGTAGAAATATTAGGTAATCACCATAAAAATCATCTTGGAAAAAATTCACCAAGTTGCACCTATGTTTCATTTGAAATGCAGTTCCTGTGTATGCTACTTTCTAATGACATGCCTATCATTTTAATAGGATTGTGTTGTGTGTGTGTGGGGGGGGAATTGTTTAGTTTTTTAGTTTAGTTAAGTTTAAATGAACAGAAAGTATCTCGGTATCAGTAACTACAGGAACCCTGACTTTAATCAAGTTTTACTAGAAAATGTAAAACAACTGTAACAAATAAAATGTTAAGAAATTAAGTGCCTAGAAGATCTGATCTTTGAAGTTTGAGTCTATAAAAGAACTACAAAAGTCCTTTATTGTTAAGATCTCTTATTATAAGAGCTGGAAAAACCACAAAAGTGATTTAGCTCATCACTCTCATCGAACAAATATGAAAAATGAATAGTAGAGAGGTTAGTGACTTGCCAAAGGTCGCATGATGAACTAGCAGTCAGAATAAAATTCTTTGTACTACATCACACTAAGTCTCTAAGAAAAGACAATTCAAGAAGGGCCTCCCCGGTGGCGCAGCGGTTGAGCGTTGGGTTGCGAAGCTGCCCGCGGCCTCTGCGGCGCTGGTTCGATCCCCGGCTGCTCCCCGGCCACCGGAGGAGGGTCCCACATGGCGCGCGGACCTCTCCTGCCGCCCGCTGCTCCCCTCAGCAGTGTCCTTCGGTCCTTCTGCCTGCTCTGCTCCCCACTCTGGCTCCGGTGAATTCTCTCACCCTCCCGCGCTTCTGACTGTACCCAGTGCATGTATAAACAAAACAAACAAACAAATAAATAAATAAAAATGTCTCTATTAAAAAAAAAAATCTTTATGAAAAGACAATTCAAGAAAGTGGGAGAGGAGGGAAAGACAGAAGTAGAAGGAAAACCAAACTGCCTACTTGGTAATTTTAAAATATATTTACTTTAGGAGAATGCATTATATTGATATAAGAAACATAAACATAAAAAAATTTTATTTTAGCATATAAGAAGAAAAGTATGTATCTGAAAAAGTTCATGTACTTACTGAAAAATTAACACTAATGATAAAGACTAAAAATATTTAAGAATTTTAGACCAGCAATGTTCTTAAAATCCATCAAGACGTTTGCTTATTCTGTTGACTACTCTTGGTTTTTAAGAAAATTAGTGTGGACATGCAGGTATCCCTGAATTTATCTAGCCTTTAAAGGAACTTACAGTCCCTGAAAAGGCAACATGGAAACAGATCAACATTGGCCGCCACAATATGTTCACTCTAGTTTGGATGGGCTTCCCACTAAGTCATTCTTGGACATGAGCTGCCTTCTGGGACTTAGGCAATCCGGGATGTTTCTGGAACCAGAAGAAATCTCTCATGACAGTCAATAACATTTTACTTTTGGTTCACAAAATGAAAAATATTCTAAATCTGGTAAATGCAAAAGAATCCATTTTGATCTTCTATTACATGATAAAGAATCTTTAAGTTACAGCCCATTTCTCAAACATCTAAAATGTTAGTGCCCGAAGCACCCTTAGAATTAATTAATATCATAATCTCATTTTATAGATTAAACAAATTAAAGTTCAGAGACAGGTCCTTAATTTACTCAAAACCATACTTTGTTGGACGCTAACTTTTTTCAGGAATAGCGTATAAGGACAGGATATAGATGGCCTCCTTGGAAAGCTTCCATATTCATTTGGTTTAGAGAAAGCAGCACATTCTAGAGGTCTGCAGATATCTAGAAAGATGGACAGGCAGGTCATAAACATATAGAAAGCCTATTTCAAAAGCTGCTATCCCATGGAACAGTTAAGTATGGGCAAAAATATGTATAGTCAAGTAAATTCTGAAAATGATGGGTTGAACAAAGTAAAATAGGCTTCTTTATGTCTGATCTGTTGAGAGCATTTACTGAATTTATGAGTGAAAGTTCCCAAGGGTATAGTGGCACATGCTCTGTTTCACAAATTTACTAGTGCCTGAATCCCTTTTTAAGTCACCTATTTATATCTCCCTAAATAGTATACTAAAGTGTACATGTTAAGAAATCTTTGCCTGTTATCTTTAAACCCAGGTATCAATTATATTTTATAATATACACTATAATATATTTCTGTCTTTTAGCTCTCATTCAGGGTTGTGGCATTAATAATCCCCCTTTGCTCTGTATAATTCAATCAAGTCTTACTGGAATAGTGGCAGAATACAGGAATTGGGCCAATCTAAAGCAGAGAGTCACTATAAGGTTGAAATGTAGATGCTCAGAGTTAAATTCAACAACATATATATTCCATCTACACTATATACAACTGACATAATTCATCTTTTCAACCCTCTTTACAACTCCTTTCCTTCTCTTTTAAAGATTTTTTTAAAAAGATTTATTTATTTATGCATAGAAGAACTGGGGTACAGGTCAGAGGTACGGGGGGGGCGGTGAGAGGATTCACCGGAGACAGAGTGGAGAACAGAACAGGCGGATTGACTGAAATACACCGATGAAGGGAACAGTGGGCGAGGCAGAAGAAGTCTGTTGTGCCATGTGGTTCTCCCTGCCCAGGGATTGAACTCGTGCTGCAGTGGCTGCAGATAGCTTCATAGTGCTGCATCTTAAACCCTTGAGCCATCAGGGAGGCCCTCTTTTAAAGGTTTTAACTTTCATAAATAAGTTAATCTACTATCTCCCTTCTTGGCTCTCCTATTTATTGCACTATTAGCATTTTACTGCTATTTGCATCTGGGGAAGGTGACTCCTAGGAAAGGAAAGCACAACTGAAGAGGATTAATAGAGCACACATTTTTGCTTTCAGACACGTCAATTTTATTTTGAGGTGCTTTCAAATATACCAATTTTATTTTGATGTTAAATTTTATCTCTATACCAGTATAATGACTAATTAAAACAGCAATTTTTGTGGGTGGGGGGCATCTGTTTATACTCATAGGATCTGAGCTAGAAATTTTTCATTTACTAAGAAAGTGGCATTAAAATCACAATGCTTTCTTTGCAGCCAAATTGCTCAGAAGATGGAAAAGTTCCTTTCTATATTATCTATAAATTCTCTGTACCTCTTGAAAATCATCTGTTCCTGAAAAAACATTAGGCCCTTTATTGGTTCTTCCTCCACGGTCTTTGCGTTTGATTTTCTTCGTCAAACAACGTCCACGACCAACATTAAAACTTTTAGCTCTCTGTTCAATACCTAAAAAAGTTAAAATGTACTTTAAATATTATTGCACAAATTATAAGAATTTTATTAAAGAAGTAAGTTATAATACAAAGTGATTTCATATTTTACCAAAGTCATATTGAACTAATAAAGTTTTTTAATGACCTTAAATCCAGGCCAATAAATACGAAAAAAAAAAATGTTTCTCTTCTGTACAGGGACTGCACCTATACTGGTGTAAGAAAAACTAACAAATGTTTCACTTCATTCTAAGAAATTATAATGCTAAAAATAACATCAATATTCTTCTCTTAGAACAGTGTTACAGATTTTCAGAAACTGGTATTTTCACACTCTGGCAGGCTGTTATAAATTGAATACTACCATTTTGGATATCAACTTGGTATATGGGTCAAAAATCTTCAAATGATGGCCATGTCTTTCATACATTTCTACAATTCAAATTTATTCCTAAGAGAAACTGTTTGCCAAAATGTTTTCTGAGATGTGTATAAATATGCAGTATACTAATACAGAATTAAAAGTAATTAGATGCAACTTAAATCTGAATTAATTACTACCAAATAAACCTATAATGTGTCCAACAAATTACATAGACATTAAAAGTTATTCACTAACACAAGAATGAGATAAAATTCACAGCTAAGGGAAAAAATATGTTAGAACAGAATGTAATAATTTCTATTAAAAATATTTGGCACAGAAATTCCAAAAGAATGTACATTCAAAATAGGAATAACAGTTATCTCTAGGTGTAGGCATTCAATTTTTGTTTTTTTTTTATCTTTGCTGGATTACCTTTTTTACATACTGAAAACATTTTCTTTATTTGATCATTATAATTTCATAACTCAGGAGAAAAAACAAATTTCAAAAAAAACCCCCACAATACTCAATTCTTTAACAGAACAAAGAAGAGCTTGAAAGGGGAAAAAATGCAGATAGAAAGGAATGATCAAGGCCTCGCCTGCATTCCCTATCATCCCCAAGTGGAATGATCCCTGACATCAGTATGTCTAGACTCTAGGAACAAACTTACTAATTACAAGAACATATGCATAAACAAATTCCTTTCTCTTTAATTCAGCTAAGTCTAGATTCACATTTTTCAAAGACATTATGGTAGGAAATCAAGAAAAAAAAATAAAACCATATAGAAATAACCAAATTTACTCCATACTGATTCCTTTTTGCAACAATAATTAAAGGATAATTACATAGGGGTTCCCTGCTTACTATCTTACTTCAGCTCATTTTGGTCCTGTTTTCTTTTTTTACATCATGTTCATTTTTAAACAATATTTGCTTCCCCCTACCCCCTCAGGTGTAGTCCCCATAGTTTCCTTCACCAATGCACCCGTGTACCATCACCTCAGTCCCCTGTGCTCCTCCCTTCCTCCCTCCCTCTGATTCCTTTTCCTCCTCCTCCCCTGCAGGATGTCTCTGATTTATAATTGTCTGTTTTTGCTTTGTTGTGTTTTGTACTGTTATTATTTTTTTACACTGATGTTTTATTTGGTCCCCCTATATTCCTCCTATAAGTGAAACCATCTGATTTTTTCATTTTCCTTCTGGCTTATTTCACTGAGCATAATTCCTTCTAGCTCCATCCATGTTGCTGAAAATGGCATGAGTTTATCTTTTTTGATTGCTGAATAATATTCCATTGTGTATATATACCACATCTTCTTGATCCAATCATCTATTTTTGGGCATTTGTGTTGTTTCCAGGTTTTACCCCTATTGTAAAATAGTGCTGCAATAAACATAGGGGTAAAGGTATTCTTTTGCATCAATGTTTTTGTGTCCTTTGGGTAGATCCCTAGGAGTGGAATTGCTGGGTCATATGGTAGCTCCATTTTTAGTAGACTGAGGAAACTCCAGACAGCTTTCCTTAGTGGCTGGACCAGTTTGATTATATACAGGAAGACTGATTGTGTACAGGAAGGCTACTGGTTTTTGTGTGTGGATTTTGTATCCTGCTACTTTACTGAACTGGTTGATTATTTTCAGTAGTTTTTCTGTGGAGTTTTTAATTAATATAGCCTATATTTAGTTAATATAGTCTCTACGTATATCATCGTACATCTGCAAATAGTGACAGTTTTACTTCTTCTTTCCCTATTTGGATTCCTTGTATGGCTTTCTCTTGTTATTGCCCTGGCTAGGACCTCCAGTATTATATTGAAGAGCAGTGGTGAGAGAGGACATCCTCGTCTTGTTCCTGATCTTAAAGAAAAGGCCTTTAGCTTTTCAACATTGAAAATAATATTGGCAGTGGGTTTGTCGTATATGGCTTTTACATGTTATGTTCCTTCTATCCCAAGAATTTCAAGGGCCTTCATCATAAATGATGTTGGACTTTATCCAATGCTTTCTCAGCATCTCTTGATATGATCATATGGTTTTTATTTTTCTTTTTGTTGATGTGCTGGATTACACTGACGATTTTTGTATGTCATCCTTGTGCCGCTGGGATGAATCCCACTTGATCGTGGTGTATTATTCCTTTGATGCATTGTTGGGATTCTGTTGGCAAGGATTTTTGCATCAGTGTTCATTAGGGAGATTGGCCTGTAACTTTCTTTTTTTGTGCTGTCTTTGTTTGGTTTTGGTATTAGTGTAATGTTGGCTTCATAGAACATATTTGGTAGTATTCCTTCTTTTTCAATTTTTTGAAAGAGTTTGTGTAGAATAGGCACTAATACACTGCTGAATGTTTGGTAGAATTCATTTGTGAAGCCATCTGGACTGGGCTTTTGTTGTTGGGGAGTGCTTTGGTTGCTGCCTCAATTTCACTGCTTATAATTGGTCTGTTTAGGTGTTCTATTTCTTCTTTGTCCAGCGTTATTTGTCCATCTCTTCTAGGTTGTTGAATTTGCTTGCATGTGTTATAGTAATCTCTGATTATTCTTCTGATTTCTACTGAGTCTGTTGTGATTTCTCCACTTTCATTTATAATCCTATTTATATGTGTTTTCTCCTGTTTTTTCTTTGTGAGTCTGGCTAGAGGTTTGTCTATTTTGTTTATTTTTGCAAAGAACCAACTTTTGGTTTCATTGATCTTTTGGATTGTATTTTTAATTTCCAATTCGTTTATTTCTGTTTTGATTTTTATTATCTCCTTTCTTTTACTGGCTTTAGGGTTTTTTTGTTGTTCTTTTTCTAGCTCTTTGAGATGTGAGATTAGGTTGCTTCTTTGAGTTCTTTCTTGTTTGTTGATGTGAGCCTATATTGCTATATATTTTCCTCTTAGTACTGCTTTTGCTGCATCCCACACATTCTGGAAAGGGGTGTCCTCCCTGTCGTTCAACTCAAAGTATTTTTTAATTTCTTCTTTAATCTCCTCATTAGTCCAGTGGTCTTCCAGTAGTGTGGATTTCAATCTCCATGAAGTGGGAGGGTTCCTTGTTTTCTTTTCATGATTTATTTCTAGCTTGATGCCTTTATGATTGGAGAAGATAGTTGAAATGATTTTGATCTTCATGTATCTGTTGATGTTTGTCTTGTGGCCCAGTATGTGATCAATTCTGGAGAATGATCCATGTGCACTTGAGAAAAATGTGTACTCGGATTTTTTTGGATGCAGTGTCCTATAGATGTCTGTTATGTCCATGAGTTCTATGTCTTTATTTAGGGCTCTAGTGTCTTTGTTTATTTTTTGTCTCGTTGATCTGTCCATTGGTGAGGGTGGGATGTTGAAGTCCCCCTCTATATATGTATTTTCTTTAATGTCTGTTTTCAGAGCTGATAATAATTGTCTAGTATATTTTGGTGCCCCTTCATTTGGTGAGTATATGTTGATGAGTGTTATATCTTCCTGATTTATTGTCCCCTTGATCATAATGTAGTCTGTCTATGCTTCTTTTTACCTTTTTAAATTTGAAGTCTATTTCATCTGATATAAGTATAGCTGTTCCTGCCTTCTTTTTTGGTCCATTTGCTTGTATGATTGTTTTCCAACCTTTTACTTTCAGTCTGTTTATCTTTTGTGGTTAAACGTGTTTCCTGGAGACAACAGAAGGTTGGATTTTGTTTTTTAATCCAGTCTGCTACTCTGTGTCTTTTTATTGATGAGTTTAATCCATGTATATTTAGTTAATATTGATATGTTGGCATCTGTATTTGCCATGTTGTTTGTCTTCTTTGTGATTTTATTCTTCGCTTTATTCTGTTCTTCTTGTTCATTCCTCTGTTGGTTTTGGCTTTAGGACTTCTTGTAGAATTTTTTGGAGTGGGGGTTTAGTTGTAATGAATTTGTGGAGTTTCTGCTTGTCTGAGAAGGTCCATATTTTTTCTTCATAGAGGAAGGAGAGCTTTGCAGGGTAAAGTATTCTTGGCTGGCATTTGCTGTGTTGAAGTTTGTTGAATATGTTACTCCATTCTCTTCTTGCCCGTAGTGTTTCTTTGGAGAAGTCTGAAGTTAACCTGATTGGTTTTCCCTTGTAAGTTATCTGTTTCTTTCCCCTTGCCAGTTTCATTATTTTTTCTTTGTCTTGGACTCTTGGAAGCTTTACTATTATGTGTCTTGCTATAATTTTCTTTTTTTTTTTTTAAAGATTTATTTATTTATACAAGAACTGGGGTATAGTCAGGGGCGCAGGAGGGTGGGAGAATTCACAAGAGACAGAGCGGGGAGCAAAACAGGAACACAGACCGAAGACACTGCTGAGGGGAGCAGTGAGTGAGGCTGGAGAGGTCTGCTGCGCCATGTGGGTAGCTCCCTGGCCGGCAGTGTATGTATGCTTTTCAAGTGCACGCCAGTGTCTGCAGAAATGAAGCCTTTTGCACCGCACTCCCGTGCCTGGATGCCTGGTTTTTAATTATTCAGTGAGGGTCATTTACCTCAGTGATGGTTCCCGTGCGTCTCCCCACAAACCTAGGTTACAGGTGCAAGGACCTGGGCAGCCACGAGCCGTGTATGCTTTTGGAGTGCGCGCCATTTTCTGCACAAGCTTACCGGCTGGCCTTAGGCTATTTGCAGGTCTCTCCGTGGGGTCCTTATCTTCTTCTAATGGCACCCGGAGCCATTAGCTCACCTCCGTGGCAATACAAGCACGGTTTTCCACAGTTCCCATTTGGGGGTACAGTGCCTGTGGTAGTTCCTTTCCACTCACTGCCCCGCTTGATCTGTAGTTTGTTCTTGTTTTTTTTTTTTCCTCCTTTCTGTTGGTCAGAGTGTGCCAGCTTTGTGGTGGGAGAGGGTAGCAGGGTTCTGAGCTTTCCTCTCTTCTCATCCTCTTTAATGGTAACTTTCCTCTTTGGGCAGTTTGACAGAGTTGCCCGTTTATCTCTTGTGTCCCAGTTCTAGCAGGGACCTGCCGCTTTTCCTCCCTATAACTTTTTTTTAATGGGAGGACTTGCAGTGTTTCCCCACCACCATGCTGATCCTCCTCCTTTAGTGGTCCTGGTCCTGTTTTCTTGACTGGATAATTCTTAAGGTTGATTTTGCCCTGATGTGACCCATGGTGTCTATGGCAACCTGCCCAACTCTGTTTAGGGATCATGTGTCTCAATATAGCAGGTGGATAAGTGACCACTACAGAAATTTCTTTAGATTATGATTTTATTTCCAGGCTTGAAGGATGTGCTCAGTCCTAAGTACACACGCATAGCAAAGCAGACTGCCACATTTTAAAATCTAATAATACAATAGATTCCCAGAATTCTGTCCAATTATGCTTAAAGAATAAAATACATACATTAACAGACAACTTAAAAGGATATTTTTTCAGTATACTGATATATAGAAGGGAGAGGAGAAACATAACAGTATAGCATTTTTTTGTATTTTTTTAAAATATTAGCCTAGCTTTCTAATTCAAATATGAAGATATCATACAGATTGAAATATTTGTAGATTTCCATCTTTGAGATCTACAAAATAATGAAAAATGAATTCAGGAATCAGGAGAATAACTTGATCTTGAGAAGGAAAATATAAATCATACTCTATAGCTACCTGTTTTAATAGGTTCTCATATTCAAAAAACAAACGAACAATTTCAAACTTACCTAGCTGAACTTTCATTCTTTGTTTTTTCCCTGGTTCTTTAGAATATGATGATCCTAAAGCAGTACTTGAGGTTTCTTTAGCTTGCCTGTATTGTTTCAAGTGACTGGAAAAATCTTCCTCTGTTTCCTGACTATAGTTACCAAAGTTGTCATCACTGTAGTTACCAAAGTTGTCATCACTGTAGGTACTATACTCATCGTATTCTTTACTCTTATATTTTTTGTTATGTTGACTCTTCTTTGATGTCACATAGCTTCCTGATACATGTCCATGCTAAGTAAAAATGTAAAATCATTATTAGGATTTTTCAATTCTATACAGAAATTAATAGTAACACAGGACATCTTTTTTTCCCCCCAGAAAGTTGGGAGAAAGGAGAAAAGATAGTTATTAGATCTGCCTCTTGGTTAGTACTTACCTATGACACTTTTAAAAACTAAACCCAAAAAGCTAAATGCCACTCTGATACTAGTAAACATTATAATGTTCATAGGTCCTTGATGGTGAGTATATTTTACTCACTTTTTGTTTTCTATGTCCCATATTTTTTGTTTGCCATGTTCTGTGTCTCAGTATTTGCATAGGCAGGGATACTTAAAAGTACATGCCATCATACATTAATTCCTTCTCCAAAAAACTGAAGAGGTCTTTTTAAAAGTAAGGAATATTAATAAAGTAGCTTGTGGGGTGGAGGGAGAAAAAAATATATGTTGAACATTGAAAAATTACCACATGACATGTTTAAGTCTATTATATTTCATATTAAACTGTATGTATAAAAAGATTTGTAAAAACAAAATGTTTATATCTGAGGCTTAATAGAGAAAAACATCTAGTGAAATTGCTTTTTATGAGCTGTTTATTACAATATGTTTTTATTTTAATGCTCTTTACTAAAAAGCACATGAAAACAGAGAATATACTTTAGCCCTAGAAGTTCATTTAATTATTGTATTCAAGTCTAGTTCTGTTCACTAAAGTATTTTCATTAGTTCTATCACATCTTCTGACAGTTTTTTTTAAGGCAAAAAAAAAAAACTGCACATAATTACAACTTGAGGATCTAGACCATGATTCATCTTCAGCTTGGTACATTTTAAATATGATATAAAACTATTACATGGGAAGAATACCAACATGAGACTGTTTTTAATAAAATACAGAAAAATATTAAGATCTTTTTAGTGATTACAAAATAGAAAACAAATATATAACTAAAGTAATCCAAACAATGAATCACTATAAATTTATAATTTTGAACACATTATTACTTTCTGACTTGTTTTAAGCAATACTTTAAGTTTGCCTAGCATTTCAATAATTCAAGAGATGTACAATTGTAGCCAAAAGGGCAGTTTCTGATATTTTTTTAAAAGCCACTATAATAATAAAAAAATAAATGCTTAGATTAAATTGAAGATTAGTTTAAGGGGGCTTACATTTCCTTTAGTAAAAGGTGACTATATTAATGATTCAATGATATATCTTAGTGCTTTATGACTAAAAATTGCTTTGTTAATGGGTGAGGATGAATTTTTCTCTGGAGATTAGATGTTTGCCCAAAAACCTTTAATTATCAATATTCATTCAATTTTCTGATAATTTTCAGTTATTATAAAAACAATTTCCATATTGCTACCATTTTAAGTAGAATTATCCCCAAACTTTTATTTAATTCCCTTCCTAGTTTTCCCAACTGCAAATATTCCCAATAGCCATTTGATGATGCAAACTTCCCATGCCATGGTTTTGTGGGAAAGACTCTACTATGGTGTAAGTGCTCCTAGGAGCATTAAATGGATGATGGGTATCCAGCAGTCCCAGCTTTTTAGGAGGATATCTCCTTAGGCTTCACATGTTCACTGTTTGGAATAACAACATGTATTCACAAGCAAGGATCTAGGCATTCTTGTAACTTTCCTGTAAGTCATTATGACAAAATAAAAACATATTAAGGCAGCTCGCCCGCCCGCCTGTAACTATGTAGGCATTTCTTCTCACAAACCTTTTCCCTTTGCAAAGCAGCAGCGGAAGCTCTCTGCCTGCCTGTGTCTATGCAGGTGTCTCTCTTTTCCTTTCTCCTTTTCCTAATAAACCTGTCCTTTTAAAATGTAAAAAAAAAAAAAAGTATTAAAAATAAGAGTGAAATAAACAATTTTTCAATAAATAAAAGCTGAATTTATTGATAACAAGTCTACACTGTAAGATATGCTAAATAAAGACTAAATGAAGCACTTTAGATTAAGACAAAATAGTATCAGATTGAAACTCAGATCTATACACATTCCTAGCAAACTAATACATAATGTATTCTTTATTTTCAAAGGATTAAAATTTGTAGCAAATGTCTTATATTTTTTCAAAATATTAGAAGACAAAGAATAAAACTGAAAGTCTTATTTTTCCATTAAAAATGGAAGTGCATTAAAAGCCACAGTGATATACAATTTCATGTCCATTAAGAAGAGTATTATACCAAAAAAGAAAAAACCCAAAAATAAAACAGAAAATAACAGGTTTGACAAGGACATGGGAAAATTAAAAAATCTCATACATTTTTAGTGGGAATATAAACACGACGTAGCCATTGTGGAAAACGGTTTGCCGTTCCTTGGAAAGTAAAATATAGAATTACCACGTGATCTAGTAATTCCACTTCTAGGTTTATACCCCAAAATTGAAAGTCAGGGTCTTTAAAAGATATCTGTAAATCCATGTTCAGAGTATATTACTTGTAATAGCAAAAAGGTAGAAGAAATGTTAAGTGCCCATGAACATAGGAATGGATAAACAAAATGTGGTATATACATATAATACAAAATCATTTGGTCTTAAAAGAAATGAAATTCTGATAAAATATAGATCAACCTTGAAAAAATTATGATTCAGGCATAAAAGGATAAGTACCATATGATTTTACCTATATGAGGTACCTACAGAGGGAAATTCATAGAGATAGAAAGTGGAGATAGTGACAACCAGAAGCTGATGGGAGGGGAAAAGAAGATGTTACTACATAATGGGTTCACAGCTTCTGTTTGGGATGATGAAAAAGTTCTGGAAATGGATAGTGGTGATGGTTATTCAATACTGTGAATATGCTTAGTACAACTGAATTATACACTTAAAGCGGTTAAAATGGTTAAAATGGTAAATTTTGTTATGTATATTTTATCACAAATGTTACATTAGATATTATGCATATTTTTAAAAAGGTAATACCTGAGGAAATGGAATGTCATAATCCCTGTAGAAACTAGTTCTTTTTTTGTGGGAACTTTCTCTTTGTTCCACTTCTGAATCAAGGCTGTAGTCTGAACTATCACCACTAGATGGAGAATTATGCTAAAAGAAGGTAAAAATAAAATCACATTTGCAAAAGAAAGAAAATTTAACTAGTAACTAGATAAACTTTTTTCAATTAGCGCATTATCTCAGCAGGCTCTACAGTATTAGTGCTCCATTTAGATACCACTCCCAACAGGCATCTCCTCCATATGGTATCTGCCTTAAAAATGATTTAGTGGATTAGCATTAGGAGTCTGTCAAACCCAAACCTGTCCAGCACCATACAAACTAATATGAGCACCTTATTCTCAGGTGTGAACTGGAAATAGAAAAGCTCCCTCTTAGTTTTTATTGCTATCCTCAGTTTAGCCCATGGACTTTTCATTTTGACTGGAGGTTCCTCCATTTTGAGATGAATACATGTTGCTAATTTGTTTAGTTCCTTTACCTTCCCTCTGCTTCATTACACATAATGAAGCATGATTTTTTTTTTTTTTAATAAATTTTATTGTTATATTCCCCATACAATTGCAGCCCCCCCATTCTGACCCCAATCCCTCCCTCCCACCCCCGCCCCCCTAAAAGTGTCTCTGGTTCATAGTTTTTTGTTGATTTTGATTTTCACTTTCTTATAGTTATTCATTTTCCTGGTCCCTTATTTAAGTTTTCTAGATTCCTGCTATGAGTGAGACCATCCGGTATTTTTCTTTTTCTTTTTGGCTTATGAAGCATGATTTTGTTACTGTCTCCAGTTCTGTGAAATCCAGAAAATCCAGTTTGGATTCATCTACTGTAATTTTGAAGTTTGTGGAGATAACTTAGTACTTCATTTTTTTTTTTAATAGATGTTGCCAATGAGTTTTTGGTTTTGCTATATGAAGTGCTCTGTTTTTATGTGGGTACTTCAGGGAGTTTCAAAAGCTATCCCATCACTGCTGCCAACTCTTCCCTTAGTTCTCTGTCAGCATAGGTTTCCCTTCTTCCCCAACCCAATCTACCTCATTTGTCTATTCAGCACCCTATTTTCTAGATAGCAATTGTTTTTCATTTGTTTAATAACTCTCTCTTTCCTATTTCAATGTAAACTCTGTAAGAATAGAGACTATTTCATTCATGACAATAACTCCCAGCATATGGCACAGATTTTCACAGTAATACGTATGAATGAAAACAATAAATGAACAAATGGACAACACCAGTGCTACTAATGCATAATGGACTAGTGACAATGCTACTAATCTCTATCTGTAGAGAATTAAATTATACTTTCTTAGCCTTTCAGCATCCTTACACACCATTTTTCATCAATTCAAAAGATTTAATATGCATTAAAAGTTACCTTTATTATTTCTGTTAAACCTTAGGATAATTCATATAAGCTGTATGTTCAGGGGTTATTAATCACACATGTAAAAAGACCTAATCTATGTTATTAAAAAATAGGCAATGATTTATAAGTTTTAATTGCTAATATTGTATATTTCATAAAAATTTACCTAAAGAATAAAAAGTATATTCTAACTAACCTTGTGTTTCTCACGCTTTCTCCTCTTGGATTTTTTCTTCTCTCTTTCTTTCTTGTGTTTTTTTCTTGATTTTCTATAGGCTTTCTCATTTTTCTGCTTTTCGTCCTCTTTTGCCTCCTGTTCATGTGTTTCTTCAAATCCTGCATCATCTATTTCACCATCTTCTAATTCACCATCTTCTCTATAGAAGACAATAAAAATTTTAATTTTCAAATGTCAATTCTAAAATGAACCTCACAGAGACATTTCCAAAAGAAAAAAGAAAGCACATGCCAAGAGTTTAAGTTATATTCATTAGATCAGGATTAGCAAGTTTTTTTTTCAGTAAAATAAATATTTTATTTACATTTGCAGGCCACTTCTGGTTTGTTTACAAATTCTTCTCTATTTTCTTTTAAAATAATCCTTCAAAATGTATGAACGAATCTTAGCAGTTAAAGTTTGCCAACCTCTGGTTTAGATTCAGATCACTTCTTTTCTATCATGAATGAATGAAGGAATGCATGAATGCAGTGTTAGCCCAAAGAATTGCAATAACTACCATCTACTAAACTACATTAATAAAAAAAAAGTTAAACATTTTAGGAAGCAAACACTCTCACTACAGAAAGAAATTTTTATTTAATTTTTTACTCTCTCTATACATAGACAGCTGTGTTAGCTTTAAAATACAATAATATATATTTATATATATAGCTTTAAATCAAAAGCAATATATATTCTCACCAACAAAGTAAACTTCAATAAGAAAACAAACTTCAATACCCAAGAATATTCAATTCCTCAACATAAATCTGTAAAAAATATTCATAGCAAAACCATAAATCTAATTCCACTTTGTATATAAAAGTATCTTTGCCACCATGGAGACTTAGCATAAGAAAAAATGCTTTCATTAAAGCATTTTTATAGTTATAGAATTCAAAATGTTCATTAATAGTATATTAAATGCAAATGAACCAACTGACATAGATGGGAGAATACATAATTTAACACTCAGTTATGCTTTTACAGTTTGAAAAAAATGCAAACTACTTACAAATAGAAGACATGATGGTATAAAAAGACAAGTGTCTTTATATGGCTGGAAGCAAATGAGAAGCACCCACCCAAACTGTGGTGTTTGCATCTTAAAATACCTTAAAATTACTAGAAACGTGTAATTTCTAAAATGCAAAACTGAGCATGTCACTCTCTTGTTAAAAATCTTCAATAATAACAACAATGTAATGTCTCAAATTTGCATAAGAACAGTCCACTGAGTATGGAGGAAGTGGTCTCAATAAAACTGAGTTACCATGAATTGGTAATTGCGGAAAGTATGGGATTTGTATGTGAGGATTCATCCTATATGGCCTGTACAGGAGTTACAAATATTCCATAATAATAATAAAAAATATCAATGATTACCTTCTAACCTGAGGATAATGTCAAAACTCCCTGATATTGCCAAAAAGCATTTTATAATTGAGTTCCTGTTTATCCAGCTTTCAGTTTCTTTAAACCTTAAACACTGCCATAAAAACTCCTTTTCCTGCTCCTCTCAACCCCTTTTCTCTCACCTGTTTCATCTGGCTAATTTCAATTCATTCTTTAGGACTCAATTTAGATGTCATTTCCTCCAAGAGGCCCTACTGACTACCCAGGTTTGGGTGAGATGTTACATCCTAAGGACTCTCCTATTTCTCATTTCGTTACCACTGCACTCTACACAAGGTTTGAAATGACTTATTTATCAGCTGGTAATAGCAGGGTATGTAACTGTGTCTTTCACAGCTATATCTGTAACTCCTAGTAATGTGCTCTGCTGCTTCTGAATGATTGAATGTACTATATATATATATATATATATATATATCCCTTGCATTATAGAATAGGCACGTGATACCACTCTAAATTGGCTCTGAAGTCAAAGTTATTTTTCTCAGGTTTCTATTACAAAATTAAAGTGCTATTTACACATTTAGGCAAACTTGAAAATTTCCCTGTGAGCCAGTCTTGGCATTCTGGTTGTTTTGATTACAAAAAAAAAAATGTTCTGAACTTTTATAATACTATAAAACATTATGGCCCAAGAAAATAAGTACATCCAATTCTCCATCAACAGATGAATGGATAAATAGTGCTTTATTTATATAATGGAATACAATAAAGAAAAAAATTAACCACTGCTACACACTATATGGATGAATATTATAAATATAATAATTATGAGCAAAAGAAGTCAGATATAAGAGATGATTTGATTTATTTACATGCATTTCAAGAACAAGAAAAACTAATTTGGCGGCAAATGTAAGAATAGTGATTACCTCTTGGAAGGTTTTAACTGACAAAAAGGGATACTAAGGTGACTTCTGGGGTGTCAAATAGTCTGTGTATTATTATATTCAGTAATTCTGTCACTACTATACATATAGATGTATAAAAATTTGAGTTGTACATTTAAAAATTGTGTACTTACTGTCCATAACAAGAATTAAATACAAACAACAACAGAAACTCTATGGGCATTCATCCTTTCTTTTCCCACCTCTCCTCCAACTTGAACTATTTAACACGTGAAAATTTTTCTATGTGAAAAACACTAATTGATACTTTGTCTTTTCACGAGATATTTAAATATGTGTAGTACTTAAGCTAGAAAGAGTGCATATAAATTTGCCCCATGCTACATAAATTCTTTTTTTTTAAAGATTTATTTATTTATTTATACAAGCACTGGGTACAGTCAGAAGCGCGGGAGGGTGAGAGAATTCACCAGAGCCAGAGCGGGGAGCAGAGCAGGCAGAAGGACCGAAGTACACTGCTGAGGGGAGCAGCGTGCGGCAGGAGAGGTCTGCGCGCCATGTGGGACCCTTCTCCGGTGGCCAGGGAGTAGCTGGGGATCGAACCAGCACTGCAGAGGCCGTGGGCAGCTTCGCAACCCAGCACTCAACCGCTGCGCCACCGGGGAGGCCCGTGATGGAAATGTTTTAAAGTTAGATAGTAGTAATAGTTGCACAACACTGAATATCCTAAAGACTGGTGAGTTGTATATTTTAAAAGGGTGAATGTTATCTTAATAAGACTAGTATTTTTTTAAATAATAAAGTTAAAATATATTTTATCACTAGATTTCAAGATCAAGACTGGAGACAACTGGAGAAAAACAAATCAGTATGAAATTAAAGACTCTGAAATACATCAATGACTCCACTGTACATGTTTTTATTTGGAGGATTCACAAAATCCTTCAAATGGTATGCCTCAATAGAGGATTCTACTTTTCTCCATTTTGATATTGGTGGCTATTAAAATAAATTAACCTGAACCATTCAATCTTACCTCCACAGGTAGTTTCTGCTAAAGGCTCCTGTTACAAGCTACAGATCAGAAACTGAGTCTTCTGGAAGAAACACAAAAGCCTCAATAAAAGACTATACAAATATTCCTGAGGGATGATATTACAAAGACATTTCTCAGGAATACAAGGTTCCTGGGATATGCCAGAACATCATCAAACACACAAAAAATGTACCAAGTAACTATGTTAAGATATAATACCCAGAACTTCTTAACAATCTGTAACAAACTTTATAGAAGTAAAATGCATATCATAAGATTAATAGAACATATATTTCCTAGATAATTGAAACTATTGCTTGTAATACTCTTCATGCCTTTGTTCAAATTCACTCTGACATTTCTCCCTTATTCATGAATGGAAACTGCTCTGTGCCTTTGCCCTGGCAACCTCTCATGTCTCCACATAGCCCATATAGGGAAGGCTCAGCCATGTGCTGACTTAAGCTTTGGTCATATGCTCTGTGATGCTCCAGATTATGGAAAGATAGACAGTCTTAGGAGGTGTTGCTACAAGACTATTTCTCACCCACCTCCCCACTTTGTGGGAGGCTACTGTGGAGTGGTTTCTTATCCACCTTTCTGGAGAGCAATGAGATCTAAGATTTTCCATCTTGCTTGCTCTTTGTAGTACAACTATAGGCATAAAAAACTGCTAAGCTGCAGTATGGAAACTTAGCAACAGGATGCACTACCACTCAGGTGGCCTATGACCATCTTGCCTCTTCACTATCAGTATTATCCTGTGGGACAAGAGACATGAGGAGTTGTCTTGCCTCTGTTGTTTATGTAAATAATAAATTCTCTGAATCTTACTGGCTGAATCTTTCAACATGCTTCACAGAAAATGTGCTTGGGCCTAAGCCTGGCTCATGCTGAAATCTATATAGCTAACTTATATGTGATCCTCTTGATTAACCCCTGACATAATTCCCTTTCATCACCCAAACTAGGTATTTTACCCCAGGAGAGTACTGGGGCTACCTGACAGGAGATTTTGTGATTTCATGTTTGTCCCAATACTAGAACTTGAATATTTATATCTTAGCTATCTTATTAGTTTCAGAAAAAGTTTCTTTACAAATTGACAATGGTAAAATCCACTGACTACAATTTCAAAGCACTTATAGTCTACCCTTGATCCAGTCTTAATACATCCTCTGGAAAGACCTTCGTTTGCAAAAATCCAGCATACCTTTTTCACTATCTAGTCATGGCAAATTTTGCATGGTTGTTTCACTACTCCAGTCAATCTTAAAAGTCTCAACCCAGTGGGACTCAGTACAAATACATGAGCAAAATTACACATTTTAATTAGCCTAATATCCCCCTATTTCTATGACAACTGTTGCAAATTTTGTTAACTCCATGTAAGTTATCTATTCCCTGGAGATAACCGAGAATTCCTATTTACTCATTTTTGTTACAAGTAATTCCTCTTTTGTTTTAACAATTATATGTGGTACTTCTAGACCTTATTTCCTGAATCAACACACTCATTTGCCTTATAAAAACCTAACTTGCCTTATACAGGTAATAACTATATGTGATAATGTAATAATTAGATAATTTTAGTTATTTCCTTCCCAACTCCTTCAGGAGGCCATGCATTTCAGGAGTTCCTGAAGGACACTGCTCTCCCTCTAGAAAAAAACAGATCCTCCTTTTTTTCTCTAGATCAGTAAGGTTCTATTTTCAAATATGGGGGTCAAATAACTTGAAAAAATTATCAAAAACTTGCTAAGAACATTAACTAAAAAGAGAAATAAGACTGTAAAGTCTTAAAAAATACAACAAATGAAACTACACTGATCCAAGTAGTTGTGGATAACAGTATAGCCCAGATTTCTTGCTGGCAGGCCACGAAAAAAATATGAAATACTGCTGCTAATACTTCCTGTTGCCCACTCCTCTAGTCAATCTTATAACACCACAGGGCTAGCTGACCAATCTAAATTCAAACTAAAAGAAAAGACAGCTTGGCTATCAAAAGAAGACTCTGAAGGAGTAGTAAGACTGATCTGGTCAAAGTGAGGGAAACTTAGTCATCATTCTAAAATGACTCTTTATTCTTATTTGTGTTACAGTCATTCAATGTTCAGATTCATATGTGCTACTGCACAGCTTTTAATTCAACAGTCGCTAAAGAAATTTATTTTGCAACAGGAAGAAAACAAAGGGATTCTGATATTGTCAGGCTAAATACCAAGGCCTTTCATCAGAATTCCTACAAAGATCACAACACACACATGGTGAACATGTGGACTGCTGTTCTACATGTGTAGAACTAAGGTTGGACAGTTAAAATAAAATTCTGCAAAGTTCCCAGCCTGTGCATATAAAAGTGCTGGCTGTATATCCCTGAGCTTAACAGATACTTTCATATTCTACCTCAGACATCTTTATAAAGCAATGCCTGGGCTTTTGTGACATAAGAATAAAAAACACAGAATTTCTACTTCCCAAATGACCAATCAGAACAATAGTTAGAATTTCTCCCAATATGTAATAACCTTTCATTTTCCTCTTTCTCGTTCAGCATGGAGAGATACACTGATCTTATTTCTTACCCAGCAAGCAGATTAACTTTCTTTTTCAAAAGCTGTATGGTGACTTTTATTACTCTTTAAAGCTACTTATAGAGGGCCTCCCTGGTGGTACAAGGGAATGGGTCTCAGACTATCAAGCTATCGCTCAGCCACTGCAACATGAGTTTGATCTCTGGCCAGGGAGCTGACCCACATGGCACAGCAGACCTCTCCTGCTGCTCCTCTCAGCAGTGTATTTCGGTAGACCTGCCTGTTCTGCTCCCCATTCTGTCTCTGGTGAATCCTCTCACCCCCTGCACCTCTGGCCTACACCCCAGTTCATGTATGCATAAATAAATAAATCTTTTTAAAAAATAAGGCTACTTATAGCCCTTTATTGAATAAATCACCAAACATGTAAATAAATCACGGTGAAAATTCTAAAGATAAAGAGGACACTAATAATACTGAGATTAATTTACAAAGGGGTATGTCAGAAACCCCTTCCTAATTTTCAGATATGAGCTACCAGTTTGGCTCTGAGCTTCAGGAAACAAGGTTTAGGTAGAAGACAACAAACAAGACAAAGACAGATCAGTTAATCAAGAAAAGTATAATGTTCTCTAGGCATAAGATCAGAGAAATTTCTCCTGAGTTCTCATAAAGACAGTATTATCTAGGGCTTTCCTGGTAGCACAAAGAATTAAGTCTCATGAGTTTGATTCTTGGCCAGGGAGCACAACAGACCTCTCCTATCTCACCTGCTGCTCCCCTCAGCAGTGTATTTCTATAAATCCACCTGTTCTGCTCCCCACTCTGTCTCTTGTGAATCCTCTCACCCCCACACCTCTGGCCTACACCCCAGTTCTTCTATGTATTAAAAAAAAAAGAAAAACCACAACAACTATATGCATAGCAATGTTCTGTTCCCCTCTGTATCCCCAGGGAAATAAAAGGCTTTTATTCTTTTAACACACTTATTCACCACCATCTATGTGGGGGATAAAATGGTAAATAAGGAGACATGGTTTCTTCTTTCATGAAATTTTCATTACAGTGACGGAGTAACACACAATTAAAGAATCACACAAATTAAAATAAAAAAAAAACCACACAAGTAAATGAGATTGGTAAATAGTGTTGGGAGAGCACACAATAGGTTCAGGTCAGCTGTCAGGGAAGTCTGGAAGGATGTCCCTGAGGAAATCATAAACAAAATGAGATCAGGAATTACTCTGAGAGATAAGTGTGAAGAACTCTGGTAGATCAAAATAAAATTAGCAAAATCTGTGTAGAAGAACTGAGATGGGAACCAAGGCAAGTCAGTGTCACTAGATAGATCATAAAGAAAAGGGTTCAAAATTAAGCTGGATAGCTGGGCAGTACTAAATCATGCAGAACTTTGACCACATTTGGAGTTTATTTTAAAAGAAATGAGAAAAAGGAAAGGATCTGTTTTCAGGAAAGGAGGTGATATGTTTAGACTTCCATTCCGAAAGATAACCTTCAGAGTGAAAAAAATATACAGAAGGGAAACAAAACATGCTGAAGGAAAGCAATTAGGATGCCACTGTTCCAGTAATGGTACAAAAGAAGATAGGAATGTATATGGAGATTCTGATAACAAGTGCGCCCCCCCTTCAAATACACACACTGTCACTGATGGAAATGTTTTTTCTCCAACAGTGATAAAGGAGAAAAAATTAATTGAAAACTACTAATATCAAAAAATAAAGACTATTATTCTTCAGGCAATCCTCCATAAATATTACAAGCATATCCATGATTTACAACTTTAAAATGTCATCTCATCAAAAACATAACAAAATAAAAAGTAAATAAAAAATAAGATACCACCTCATTATTGTTGAGGCTATTCCTTTGAATGGGATCAAGATTTTCCCTAAAAATAGGGAAGATATGAATCAATAAGGTGTTATTTTTTTATATCGTAGTATCGCTTAAATCCAATCATGTCAGCCTTGGATTTTTCAAACAGGCATTATAATCATCTGATGCAGGTAACACATACATAAACAACATATTAATGAAACATCTAAATTCAAACAATGTAACATCCTGGTGAACTTCCAGTATAAATATGATGCACAGTACACCATGAAGTTATTAAGTTAAAAGACCTTATGAACAGGGCCTCCCCTGGTGGCGCAGCGGTTGAGCGCTGGCTGCAAAGCTGCCAGCAGCCTCTGCAGCGCTGGTTCTATCCCCAGCCGCTGGCGAGGGTCCCACATGGCACGCAGACTTCTCCTGCAGTGCCCGCTGCTCCCCTCAGCAGTGTATTTTGTCGGTCTGCCTGATCTGTTCCCTGCTCTGGCTCTGGTGAATTCTCTCACCCTCCCGTGCTTCTGACCCGTGCTTGTATAAACAAACAAACAAACAAACAAATAAATCTTTAAAAAAAAAAAAAAAGACCTTATGAACAAAGAAAATGAGTTCCACAAGGTAGATTTATTCTTTTATTTAAACACATACTTGAGGAAATAAAGCATAAAGCAAAAAAAAAAAAAAAAAAAGTTTATCCATGAGCAAACTCCAGAGAACAAAAATGAAAATAAAAGGACAGAAATCAACAAAATAGAGAAGATAATACAGAAAATAAATAAAAGTAAAGGTTATTTTTAAATGAATTATCTTTCACCATTCACTGTAATGCCAGCTTGTCTTAGCAGTCTCATAGTCATTTAAATCTATATATGAACAAGTAGAAAATGTAAATTATTCAATTTTCTATACCTTTTCTAAAAGTGTTAAGTTAACAGACGTTTTCCCATAAAGGCCTGGAACAGAATCTTTAAAACACAGGGCCTTCAGAGATTTGTGAATGTGACTAAAAAATAATTTAAAAATAATTCTCAGCAATATTTATTCTATAGTTTCTTATTATCTAATTCTATTTAAGTCTATTCTGTTCCAAATAATGTATTCATGGCAAAGAAAAATTATAAAGGTCTGAAAGGTGCATTTCTGACATGCGAAATTATCTTCTGCCCTCTTTGGTCTCTGCCTCAGAAGCAAGATGACTAAAGGAATGTCATCATTCAGAAAGTGTTGCAATAAAACACACATATATAGGCTCTGTGGCTCTACGGCCTACCACCTTCAGAAATCAACCTGTGGCAAATATGGCTACCCTGTGAAATGGAAGAGACAGTATAACTGGAGTGCCAAGGTTAAAAGATGAAATACCATTGGGACTGGTGGAATGAGACACCTCAAACTTGTACACTGCAGATTAAGGCATGAATTCCATAAAGGAACAACACCTACACCCAAGAGGGCAGCTGATGCAGCATCCAGTTCATTTAAGGATTTCAACAACTAGTCATGTATTAAATGTCTGGTTTAAAAAAAAAAAAGGTAAATTGGAGTTAATTCAGTTCTACAGGAATTATTTTAATGTTTGCCAGGACATTAGCCACCAGGCTTGAACAAATAGATTAACAATATGGGACTTGGAGTCAGGAGATGCTGTAGGGTTTTCTTTGTATTGAACAGCATTTTTTTAATTGCTCAAAGGAAATTAGTCCAAACTTTTTACTGTACCAATTTTTTTTTTTAAAGAGAGAAATAAAGAGATAATCAAATGACACAGAGCTGAAAAATGGGTTGCCCTATTTCATTCAGGGTTCTAAGACAAGACCAAGGTGAAAGTCTCCATATCAAAGTCAGAAGATGGAAAGAAAACTGATGAATGCTGGAAGAAAACTGCTATTACTAAGGTTTGCCATTCAGTTAAAACAAAAAGGGGTAAAGCACCAATATCAAGGAGAGGGAACACTTTTGGTTGCCTAAACAGCAATTTTCACCTTAAGTTAAAAAGGACACAAATGAAAACCCCAAACCACCTCTTATTTAATAAAATAAATAAATCTTTTTTTTTTTTAAACATTTTTTTTTTTAAAGAGGCACGTATTTTATTTATTTATTTATTTGTTTGTTTGTTTATACATGCACTGGGTACAGTCAGAAGCGTGGGAGGGTGAGAGAATTCACCAGAGCCAGAGCGGGGAGCAGAACAGGCAGAAGGACCGAAGTACACTGCTGAGGGGAGCAGCGGGCAGCAGCCGGGGATCGAACCGGCGCTGCAGAGGCTGCAGGGAGCTTCACAACCCAGCGCTCAACCACTGCGCCACCGGGGAGGCCCACCACCTCTTATTTAATGAGAACCTAACATTCTGGCAAAATGAGATCATCTGAACCTGGAAATTAAAGTAGAAGTGTCAAACAAACACAATAGTCCAATAACAACAGATTTCTTAAAATGCCTAATGCTTTGAACTTGTGACATGTGCAAACAGTCTACTTAAAAAGACATCATATGCAGGGCCTCCCCGGTGGCTCAGCGGTTGAGCGCTGGGTTGTGAAGCTGCCCGCGGCCTCTGCAGCACCGGTTTGATCCCCGGCTGCTCCCCGGCCACCGGAGGAGGGTCCCACATGGCGCGCAGACCTCTCCTGCCGCCCGCTGCTCCCCTCAGCAGTGTACTTCGGTCCTTCTGCCTGCTCTGCTCCCCGCTCTGGCTCTGGTGAATTCTCTCACCCTCCCGCGCTTCTGACTATACCCAGTGCTTGTATAAACAAAAAAACAAACAAAAAAAAAAAAAAAAAAAAAAGACATCATATGCAGCGCCGGTTCGATCCCCGGCCACAGGGCGAGGGTAGAACAAAAGCTCGAGAGCCAGAAAGACATGGGTTCAAATACTGTTTGTTTTTAAAGATTTATTTATGCATACAAGAGTTGAGGTGCAGGCCAGAGGTGTATGTGTGGGGGGTGAGGTTGAGAGAGACAGAGAGCGGGGAGCAGAGTGACTGAAATACACTGCTGAGGGGAGCAGTGGGAAGACAGGAGAGGTCTACTGCACCATGTGGGTTAGCTCCCTGGCTGGGATGGAACTCGTGCAGCAGTGACTGCAGATAGCTTCATAGTGCTTGCTCAGACTCAACCCTTTGTGCCTCCAAGGAGGCCCCCAAATTCTGTTTTTGAGTCATATACTATCTATATGAACTCGAACACATTATTCCACCTTGTATACTCTGTTTCCTCATCTACATAATGGTATTAATCAACTTACCATAACACTTAAGAATTAAATAAGATAAAGGGAGGTAATTACTTAGCACTAAGATAGAAAGCCCTCACCTAAAGTTTCCTTTCCTCTTGTTATTTGCCTGAAATACATGCATTTTGAGTAGACTGGATATAATGGACCAGAAGTACTTTCATAGAAATTGGGAAAGGCGGGCCTCCCTGGTGGCGCAGCGGTTGAGTGCTGGGTTGCGAAGCTGCCTGCAGCCTCTGCAGTGCCGGTTCGATCCCCGGCCACAGGGCGAGGGTCCCACATGGTGCGTAGACCTCTCCTGCTGCCCGCTGCCCCCCTCAGCAGTGTACTTCGGTCGTTCTGCTCCCCGCTCTGCCTCTGGTGAATTCTCTCACCCTCCCGTGCTTCTGACTGTACCCAGTGCTTGTATAAATAAATAAATCTAAAAAAAAAAAAAAAAAAGAAAAGAATAAAGATATTAAAAAAAAAGAAATTGGGAAAGGCATAAATCCAAGGAGCATGATTCCAAGGGCATTTTTTCCTTCATAGAATAGCAAAGAAAAAAAACTATATGAAACTAAGACAGAAAAGCTTCTGTAGGAGTCTGTTCTAGAGAGTATTTGTACTTATCATTAAGCAATACTTAGCAACACTGTGTGTGAAAGTCACCCCTACTACCAAAGTATATTGAACACACAATAAAACACAGATGGAGTAGAACAGTGTAAGTTACTCATGATGACCCAAAGTTAACTAAGAAAGGATAGTGTCTATTTAATGAGGGAAATGGTATGCCACATATTTTTATTTACAAAGATTTCTTTGAAAATATTTGTAAAACATTGGTTTCTGACAATAAAATCTGTCAACAATTCCCTGCCCTCACACATTTAATCTATGAAATTAAGATTTTTTAAAATATATCCTTTGAAATATAAACTTCTATTTATTTATATCATGAAGGAAAACCATGCCATTCCTCAAATATCCTCTATATACTAAGCAGACTACTGCATAAACCAAAACTGTGAATTCACTTGTTATAGTTTCTTGACACTATATTATCAAAATTGTTCTTTTAAATATATTATTTACGATCTTGGAACTCTCACTAAGCTAAATTTATTTATTTTCATTCCCTTTCTAGTTTCCCTCTGATTTAGGTTCTCCAGTATAGACTAGAAAGCTTGCTATTCAACAGAAATAAATATCAGCAAATAAATTACCCTAAGAATTTGAAATTCACAAAATAATCTTTGCAGCATCATTATATCAAAACAAAAATTGAATTATAAAAAAGACAAGAAATTACAAATGACAAGATGTGAAGAAAAGGGAGTCCTTGTACACTGTTGGTGTAACTATAAATTGGTGCAGTCACCAAGGAAAACAGTATGGAGAATCCTTTAAAAATTAAAAATAGAAGTACCTTATCACCAGCAATCCCATGTCTGGGTATTTATACAAGGAAAATGAAAACACTAACTCCAAAGGACATAATGCACACCCATGTCCACTGTAGCATCATTTACCATAGCCAAGATATGAGAACACCTACGTGTCAACTGACGGAAGAATAAAGTTGAAGTATACATAATGGAATATTATTTAGCTATCAAAAAATGAAATCTTGCCATTAGCAACAACATGGACAAACTTTCAGGGCAAATGCTAACTGAAATAAGTTAGACAAAGACAACTACCATATGATCTCACTTATATGTAGAATCTAAAACAAACAAAACAATAATCAAACTCAGATAAAGAGAGAGAACAGATTGGTTGTTGCCAGAGGCATATAAGGAGATGAATAAAAAGGGTTTGAAAGGAGCCAAAACATGCAAACTCCATCTTGTACCATTTTGCACAAACAGATAAATACGTTGTACAATGCTAATGTTCAACATGGCAACTATGGCTGTTAATACTGTATTACATATTTGAAAGTTGCTAAGTAAATAGAAATCTTTATCACAAGAAAAAAAAGTTGCTAATATGTATGATGAATAAATGTTCACCTGAGTTACTGTGGTGAGCACTTCTGCAATATATACAAACATTATGTTATACACCTTAAATTAATATAATATTGTACCAATTATACCTCAAAAAAAAGTTTAAAGTCTTGTGGGATGAATCTACAATG